CCTGATGCAGGGAAACTCCAGAGTCTACAGTTTTCCTTTGGGTTGGAAAAATAACTAGTGGGTTGTAGGCAGGCCCTGCGGATAATGTAGGTATGGTGGGTAGCTGTACGTACACCAAAAATTCCGACTGGGTATAACACCTAGTCGGAATTTTGGGTGAGAGGAATATTTCATAAACGTAAAATTTCAGTAATGAACGATATTTCTCGGAATTGCGTCGACTCAAAACGTATACGTGACCAACAATTTTTCAAGATCGACTCAAAAGAATTGTGATTTTACTTGTTTATAGGGACATGGCTGAGAAAATCAATTTGCAAAAATTTTTAATGAGTTTACATAAAAAATGTAAAACACAGCGCTTTTTTGTATTTCAACAATGAACTGCTGAAATTACGTAAAATAATTGAAGAGTTCAGTAGAACAAGGGGCTATCTTACAGTTTTTGTAAAATTGAATTACGCAAAATTTGAAATATTAAATATTATTTTAGTGTAATAATTACTTAAATCTAGTATGAACTTACATGCAAGTGCATTGTGTTTAAAAATTAAAAAAATATATGAGGGAAGTTCAGGTAAAACCCTCATTATTCCAAAACTATGTCTAAGTGGGAGAGCCCCCTGGTCTCTTTTGTCCTTCAATTGTGATAAAAAATTGATAATTTAATGTTAAACATGACCATTTTAAAACATTTTTTGTATTTTTCCCTTCATAATATGAGTAGAAACTGAATTTTGAGTTACATACATTATTTAAAGTGAAATTTATACTCTTGCGTCCAAGAATAGTGTCATTTCTTTTTTAGCACAATTGAGACAATTATTGGCGATGTTCGAACTTCATAAACATGATTTGGAAATGTAATTTCAAACCTTTAAAGCGCTCTCCTTAAGAATCATCTTTTTGGAGTTACGCCACTTTTCCACTGGGAGTGCGAACATTTTCAGTGGGGGGTGGAAGGGAGAGGGCCCCCCCCACCGGGTCAACCACCTACTCTGGCTAAACACCACTTGCCGGCCCCGGTTGTAGAACTCAATATGAATCGTTTATTTCAGAAACCCGTCAAACCCCAAATTCCTTATTTCGAAAAAACTAAGAAAAAGTGTCCTAGCGATTGGTTTTGGAGTTTCAGGAGGTTTAGGATTGGTTTTTCTGATTTTAAAATATTTTTTAGTATTAAAGCAGTTGATAAATGAATAGTTTTCATGTAAATGTTTTTTTACTGATCTCGTTATATTTAAAAAAGTTTAAACCAGTGCACTTGTCGGGTTTCTGCAATAAACAACTAATTTTATTTGTAATATAAGTTTTTACTATTTATTATTTATCACATTAAACGAGATAACTTTAGATGATAAGAATTTTTTTACATAAAAATCTTGAAAAATCAGACTTGTTATTCGTCTTGAAACTCAACAGCATCATCAGGTACTTTTACGTACAGGTTCATTTTCATAACTACGCATGTTCTCACAAAAAATCACACTTTCTTACTTACTAATCACAGGTAAATCAAAACACTAGAAAAATAAATTTCACTACTCTGAACAGATGCTCCACACAAATTAAAAACAACAATCTTACTAGTTTTAGAGAAGCAGATAGAGTTCAGGTAGAGACTTCCTTAGGAAATCTCTACCGAACGTGTAACTTAACCGACCCCCCAGGTGGTGCTGATAAACCTTCAAAATAGCTTGGATTACATGTGACATCCCGATTCTCGTAGTTATTTGCATGCGACCACTGCAGAGTTAAAAGGAAATTGCCTTTTGGTTTAGAGCAGAAACCCGTCAAACGACGTGAATTGGATTGTTCTAAACACAATTTGTGTTTTGTTTTTTTCAGACTTCATTGCAAGAGTTGCAAGTAGCTGATCTATGCACTAAACTATGCGTTTATCCTCAAAGAACAATACATTGTTGCTAATGTGTGTGGCTTGACGGGTTTCCGAAGTGAAGGCTCCTTGCGGTGAATGCCTGGGACTATCTAAGCGCGTCGGGGCTCACCCACGTAGTCGGGCGTGCCGAGGATCTCCCTGAGCGGCTCGTGGGCGCTGATGACGCGCGACACCTCGAAGTCGCACAGCTTCACGTCCCCGCGCGGGAACTCCGCCGTCAGCACCAGGTTCTGCGGCTGCAACAGCGCGAGAGGCGATCGGAGGGTAGTGCCTGCTGCGCGACACATGCTCACGAAACCTCGCGTTGCGATCTCGGTGGATTGATTGACTGTTAGTGATGCCGGGCGCGTCAACTACCGACATCATGAATGCCGTACATATTGTACACGTCTTTTTGCTCGGGAGGGGACGGTGATCGTGCCCCGTTAGATGGTGAGATCCGGCGCGGGGTTTTCCAACCAGATATCTCCCACCAGTAGAGCACCACCGCAGCCGGGACAAGCTCTAAGCTCCCGACTGGTCTCCCGGCGTGTGAGCTAGTGCAAACCCTCTTATCATCAATATTGTACTTCTGCTGTTACATTTTCGCAATTTGTTAAAATAATGAGTTTGCCAAAAATGAAACTTGTGCCATTATTTAAGCGACTGATGTTCTATTCGAGGAAAAATTTAAAAAAAATTGCCCTAGACGTTTTTGAGAAAATAATTGTTAAACAATTTCATATATTTTACGCAAAATATCTCCTCCCTATACGTCACATTCAGTATTTCCTTTTTGACTAAATAAGTCAATTCAAAAATTATCTAAAAAAGACTCATATTTTATCAAACTTAAATATGACCTTATTCAGTCATTAAAGAACAGATTTCATAAGGGAAAATTTTTCACTAAAAAATTCAATATTACAGTTGTAGTAAGAAGCTGAAAACAATTGCGGAAATTTCTAATTGAAAATTCAGAGAGTTGAAAGAAAATGAGTCCTTCTACATTTTTAAGCGCCCTTATCTCTACCCGATAAAAAAGTTAAAATTTAGTACCTTTAATGAGAACACTTTGGAACGTGAAGTACCCTCGAAATTCAAAATATTCACATCAAACTCGCAGGGTCTCGAGATCCTCTAGATTGGTCGGGGAATATCAATTTAAAAAAATCGTCTGAACACTTAGTTTAGAAGCTAGAGTTGACCACAGTATTGTGGATGAGGGGGCACTGATTGAATATTTGGTCATAACGCAGCACAGCACACCTGTGAAGCGATTGCCGTGGACTGATTAACTGCTCATTTCATCGTTAAACGAGCTTACTTAAGTTTGAAATTAGATTTAATGGCGCGCAGGGTTTTTATTATCATTCAATATTTCTGTCACTAAAATTACTGATAGTTCTGGGCTAACTATTGCGAGAATACACGCACCAAAGCGAGGACGGTGTAAATGGACGTCTGATACCGAGTTTTGGTTCGCACGGACTTGGGGAATGGATGGTGTACCCCACTTTCTGTATGGCATGGACACTCGAAGTAAATTATGTGAACAGGTCTGGTGTGCTTAGTATACGCCTGATTTAGAATCTATGACCTGGAGGGCGAACTAACTTCGCATCGCGTCAGTTGAAATTATGAAAACGTGAAGTGCGTCAGAGGGTCCGTGAGGTGCACGTGGAACCGAAAACGCGCTGAGGGAATCAATGAGACCTCGTGATGGTAATCGTTGCATGGGGGGGGGGGTTCTGAAGGGATTCGTGTAAACAGAACGCATGAAAAGGTTTTGTGGCCGAAAACAGGAGAGATGTGAGCTGGAAATTGCGCGAGGAGGCGAGGTAAATTAAATCAACTGCAAGTAAATTGTACTACTTGTAAATTGATTGATTATTTTGTTGACGGGCGCGTCAAGTGGTAAGGTCATCATTCCCGTAAGTACAGTGCAAGTTATATTCCGGGAAACGACAGCGTTCGTCCCCTACTAGAACGTGAGATCAAATGCGGATCTGCCCGTCACCTGGCGGGTTTCCCCATCAAGGAGTATCCCCGGTGTGTCAACGCCCAAGCCGGATCTATCTGAAACCTCTCGACGTGTGTAATGGTCTTGTACGTGCAGGTGTGGAAGGGAAAAGGATAAAACAAAGAAGAGGTAGGGAATATCGCGCGCGGTCCGCGGCCTGTTTGTAAGGATGCTGTTCCGGCATTCTCCTGGTCGGAGAAGCAGGGAAAAATACCGATCTGAGCAGCCGGCGGGTAGAATTCTCTTCCAGATAGCGACTGAATTCGACCAAGCTGACGAGCTAATGTCGGCAGTGGCACCTAGGCCCTCCCGCTCAGAGGCACTGCGATGACATCAGTGCATGCCCTGAGCCACTTCTGCCAGTACGAGGGTTTGAAGAGCGTTGGGCGGTAAGGGGGGGAGAGGGGGAGCGTGGCGGAGGGCGCCCGCCGCCTTTAAA